AAAATTACGCATTTCTCAAATTATTAAGTAGAGAATTATTAACTAGAAATCTTATTTCAATAGCAACAACATTAGTCACTATTTAATGGACATACTGCAATACTTCTTTCGACTATTTCTAAACAAGCATATTAGGCTAACAGTTTTATAGATTCAGTAATCGCTCGAGCCAAATTTATTTGTTTATTGCGAATTGATCCTTAGCTACATGATACTTTCGTTACTCAACCGACATATATTTAAAAATGTAAAGTTGATATGATCCAAATCAAATTCAAAGAATTCTCACATTAAATTTAATATGAAAAATTGACATTGAATGAATCGTAAAAAACATTACGCTGTAACGGACACCTTTCTCTAATATAAATCTGTATAGAATGTCTCGAATCGATGGCACGAAATTATCCTCGATACGAGCTGGATCGAGCCCACGATACGTAGATAAAAATAAAAAAAAAAAAAAATACGTAACGCACACACGTGTTCGAGCACTCGTCTACATAAACATGAGCGGCAGCCACGGCTCGGCGGCTGCATTTTAAATTTTCGAGATTTTCATCGACGACGCAGGACGCGTCGAATCTATATAACGTATTATGACGCCACACACGGCGGTGGCGGCGGTGGCGATCGCTTTGCATTATTATGACTGCAAGCACAGCACAGCAGGCACACGGGCAGCAGCAGCTCGAAACTTCACTTATATTACAACCGCTTGGAAGGTAATATTGCACGCGGGTGACTCGATGCGACGCTGTATACGTACACATGTACGTGCGATACAATATGCATATGTGTATATAGGTGGACGCGCGCGTATATATAGCCGCACAAGCTCGGAATGACAATATGTATTATACCGCGACATTGTGCCGACGATACTATCAGAAACTTTTCGACGACGATCGCAGGCCGTACGATATACGCGAGCTGTGTGTGATTGTGTGATCGTGAGTGTATATGTGTTATAGTACAGGATGCGGGTCACGGCTCGAGTGATTCTATATTTACATCTTTGTGAAGCAGCAGCAGCAGCAATAGCAGCAGTAGTGGCTATTTATATATTACATCTATCGCCCGCCGAGAGTAGTATACGATGATGATACAATGCTCAACTCTCTCCCGCAGCCGCACACACCGGTTTGTTCGCGGTAATTAAGTATTTATGCCCGATTGTCTGTTGAGTGAAACATTAATTCGTTTTCCAGGCGGACTAGTAAGGTACTTTACTCGTATATGGTATGTATGTATATTTGTTGGGTTGCGCGAGCTTTCGTCGGGCAAAATAAAAGCTCTCCATGTGTGTGGGGGATGAGATTTTAATGCCATAGGCGGGGGTGTAGGTCAGGCACTATGGTAGAAGGAAAGAATAAATAACGCGCATTATGTCTCCTTTGAAATTTCATTCGCACTCGAGGCGACGGACGTAAAAAAAAAGAAAACGAAAAAAATTGAAAAAGAGAGAAGTAGGAAAAGAACTAGAGAAGTCGAGTGTGTGTGTGCTGTGTGTGCAATCACTGGCGCTACTATACCTCGCTAGGATTTCCCTTTTTATTTCCGCTTTAAATGCCACTGCAGGCCGCGCGTGCGGCGAAAGGCTATATAATGCACGCTTTTATATTATATATAGCGCGCTGCGATGCAATAGCGAGACGCGCGCGCGCGGGGTCAGTGGTGGTGTCGGATTCGCCTCTCGTGCCAAGTCATTGTTTTAATTCTTTTTCGTTCTTTCTCTCTTTTCTGCGCGCTCCACCTCGATAATTTGCACCCACGCTAGTGGCTACAGAGAAAAAAACGAAGATATTTAATTGTTTCGAGTTTGTTTGTAGGATGTTACACAAACAAAAAAAAATTGGCACCCAAGTATAATACAGGTCGCTGCTGTACGTGTGTGCAGTGTGTCCATACGTTTTGTTATTCGGCGCGTCGAAGTGATAATTCGCCCGCAAAAACGAGCAAAAAGCAAAAATAAAGATAAAAAAGAAGAAAGCTAGAATGCGGGAGGAGGGACGCGCGCGCGACGAGGGAAGATAAAAGAAAAAGGATAATTTAGCAAACTTTATCGTATGCCATTATATAGCGTAAGCTTCCAACTCCTCGTCGACTATAGTTTTCCTCCGATTCTCTCTCTCTCCATCTCGTTTTTCCTTTTCTAATCATAACTTTCGCAATGCGAACACGAGCCGAGCCGAGCTCTGGTCTGGGGTGGTTCGCAATATTTCGACGGTCAGCAGCAGCAGCAGCAAACTGGCATCGGACAAAAGCATTTTCCATATAGCCCGAAACGATCATCGCATATATAGCACGTAGACCATGGGGCTGCGGGTGGACAACGTGGGCTATATGTAGGATGAGAGGACTACACACATACACAGGGATATAGTCGCAACGTCGCGCACTCGCAGCATTTGTATTCACCCCGTCAAATGCGGTATATAGCCGTCGCATGCGCTGCTGCTACTGCTGCTGCTGACCTGTGCATGTGTATATATATGCGGTCCTATATACTACCGTCTTTCTCTCTCGTTGGGTTGCGGCGGCGGCGGCGATCTCTGCAGCAGCCGAGCCAAAGCCAAGCCAATACGTGTGTACGGAGGCATGCAGTATAGGGATGACGCTATGCGAAATTCTCACGAGGTTCCCAATTGTGTGTCCGCGCGCGCGGGGAATGTGCCACCACCGCTGCTGCTGCTATATGTGTGTGCATATTCCTATGCTCCGCAGCTCTTGTCTCTTCTATGCCGTGCGCGGCGTTATTTGGCGGACGAAATGTTGATATAAAACTTCGACTATGACCCCGGCGTCGTTTAATACCCGAGCCGCGCGTATTTTATATACGGTATATGTATAGTATTTGCGAAGACGATTAAAGAGGACTGGCAAAGGATCCTCGCGGCGAGACTAGAGAGACGAGGACTTTGAGATATTTATGGCACGCGCTGTGTGTGTCGTTTGCAGCTTGTATATCGCGGTTTTTCGTCGTGTTATGCGTGATACAGAAGATTCGTACTTGTGAATCCAATCAGTCTAGTAGCTTTCCCCATCAAAAACGTATTAATTATTACGAGAAGCTTCGACTTTCCCACGGATAGAGAGACAAACGATTTAATCTTGGTGTTTTTGTGGTTTTGGCTAGTTCGAACGTTTTTAAGAAGTAATATCGGTCTTTTCTCGTGCGAACGTGACTTTTTTCAATCTTGAATTATTTTCTTTTGGACGAGCTGAAACAACAAAAAGAGCCAAGCTGCGAATGAAAAAGCTCGATCGTTCGGCAGAGCTTATCGAAAGATCGATAAATTTTAATTAATGTATGACTCGAATGCAGCATCGAGAAGCTTTTTGAACTTTGCTGCAAGATTTATCGTACGATTACTAATTGATAGATATTATCATTCGAGATCTGAGGATTTCCGAGAACTCCGCAGTCGGTAATTGCGCGATCTCGGCCCCTAACGAGCTTGGCTCGACGCTCTGCGGTTGATAACGCAGCCCAAGGCCTCGAAAGATCGAGGCGCCGCACGGCGCGAATCTAACGACAAAAAGAGATTTCCGAGATTTTTTCCCTAATCGAACGCAATTTATCGGAAACAATTGAAAATTAAATCTATCCTTGATTGGCCGCTGCCAAAAAATTATCCTCGTTTCGTCAGTAACAAAGAAAATATTTACTATTCGTATTAATTTCGCAATTGTGCCCGATTGTGCATTCGAGGTTTATGTTTACTCTCGATAAAGAAAAATTCGAGACTCTGACGCCTTTTATCGTGGCTGATCCGATTGGGCCAAGCTAATGAACTTTCGTTCTGCTCGATCGATTCGATTAAGTGGCGTCTTATGCAAAAAGATGATATCTCACTTTTTTTCGTAAGTCTCGTGTGCAGATATCGATCGATGATTGTAAATCCAATTAGATATACTTGATTTGAGAATCAAAACGAGCGAAAAAAATTATCAGTGATTTTTGATCAACTCTTTTTCAAATTAATTATTTTTTACGAATTAACCCTTATCAACCTTGACCCTTTTAATAATTTTCGATTAATAAATTCTTACACTTGTTTATCAAAATTAATTTCTTTTTGATTTAACTAGTTTAAATTTACGATTATATCTACGTATTAATGACCTTTACCTCATTATTTCAGTAATTAACAAGGTACATTTATTGTCGAGATGAAAATCTCAAGTCATCGTACTTTGGCCGCATCGAAAATTTCAATCTAGATCAAATCCTTGGCCGAGCACAGATCGATATAATCCATCGATCGCAGATCGACGCAACGATGTTTTGTCACACGCGCAATTTTATAACAGCATATTACGTTCCTCGATCAATTGACTTTTCGTAATTCGCGAAAGCTTCCTCGACGTTTGATCTCGTCCATAACGTAATCGTTTCCAGCAGAAACTCGCTCGTCTGTGACGTACGTATGTTACAACAATAGTGTGTGCGTCTAGTTCTTTTTTTTTTTAAGGCACGTGATTCCACTTTATTGACATGGTAATTTTAATATTAGATTATTTCGCGCTGATATTTGCGCTTACTCACACACACACACACACACACACACACACACACACACACACCTCATCAAACACAGCAGCGTGGCTTAGATAACTTCTTCGTAATTCTAAGACTCGAGAATTTATGAATCTACATAGGTGCCGCTTTCGAACGTGTGCTTCGTCGCACGAGTTCACTATATGCGGACGAAAATCAAAAATCGCTTTGATTTGAGAGAGTGATTTGAGTGCAAAGCAATAAATTACAAAAAAATTGTATTTTTGCACGACGCACAATATGCGAGACCATTTAAATACGTGTATATATATATCGGCACGTCTCACATGCTCCGTATATAATAAAAACTCGAGTTTCTACGATTCTCACATGACCGCGTCTCGTATCAAAGCTCTCAGCTGATCGTCTGCAGTGGCAGCACCACCAGCAGCTGCAGCCTGTGCATCCTCAAACTCCGCGCGATCGTCGAGAGCAAATAGTATAAAAAGCACACGGCTGCGATTGCTCCTTACAATCGAGTCTCTCTAATAAACAATCGTTGCTTTCGCATCGCGTCGTCGCGTGCGTCGATCTTCGTCATTACCTCCTCGTCACCTTCCCCTTTCCCAAAAAATGCATTGAAAAAAATTTTTCTTCGGCCTCGGCTCCGCGATTCATCGTGCACGCGCAATATTCGCTTTTCGTATTCACGCGCTATTTCGTGCAAAGCTGATCTTATAATCTCGGCGTGTATCTTTCGATATATACGCGCGTATATACGTGCCATTTTATCTTTTTTACCTTTGCGATATCTGGTTGGAAGCTCGTCGTGCATTCGATACTTCTCCGTCTTTCCTCGCGCAAAAGTTCAACGGATGCTACGATGTGTGTGCCCGCGCCGCCAGCTTACGTATAGTTTGAATAGCATCTTCGAGCGAGATACATCGGTTACCAAGCAAGTTGTCTTATTGATTGCAATGTGTATAAGTGATATAATAGATAATGGAAATATTCGAGGGTACACGATATTACTACTACTACTGCTACTTCTTCTTTTTTTTTTATACTCGTCTAATCTATTTGTGGTGTTTTCTATTTTTACGATCGAGCAGAAGAGCCACAAGATTCGCCTAATCAAGCGGCAAATTATGACAAGGCAATAGCGGCCACAGGTGAGTCGACGTCCGACTGCGAGAGTATATGTACGAGCAAAACTTGCCTCGAGTTTATTGCGATTAAACTTTTTTTGCACGTTTTTTATTGCCTCTCTCTCTCTCTCTCTCTCTCCGAGCGAGTGTGAAATTTCGGGAAACGTTTTCAGCCGCGATTTGATAAAGAGACTCTTTTTTTTTATCGTTGTCTCGCTTTGCTCTTTGCGAGATTTTATTTTTTTATTTTTTATTTTTGGTCAAACGATCTCGGCACAATTAAAAAAAATTAATTTTTTTTCAATCAATTCGATCGTAATTTGAAATTATATACGATACGCGAGAGAGAGAGAGAGAGGAAAGAAAAATCTAGAAATTCTAAAAAAAAAATCGTACGATGAAATTATTATGTCCTTGAGTACAAGTTCATTGGTTTTATTCATTAAACGCGATTAACGATGTGTTGAAATCGTTTATCTTTCAAAGTGCCTCTCTCGGCTCGACGTACAATGTGCGCAAATATTTGAGAAAAATTAAAATATATCTCTTTTGTGCGAATGATTTTCTCACTATTATAATGTTTTTTTTTTTTTTTAATTCTTTTTTGCGTTTCGATAAGGAATCAAAGTCAAATTTTAGTTATGACCCAATGCTTTCGAACATATCTTCGAGAAAGTCCAACAGAAAACCGGTTTTTCAATCTCCTGCATTGCGTTGCAATTTGTTTTTTTTTTTTTTTTTATAAACGGTGCCACAAAATTTCCACTGAACAAAGAAAAAGTCCGCACTCTGCACGGCAGCAGTAGCAGAGTTCAGTAAACCCAAAACTTTTTTTTCTCTCGCCTTATCTTTATGCCAATAAACGTATGCAGGATATGGACTGTTCAATACGTTGCTGCTGCTGGCGCTGCTGCCGGTGGGCTGGACGTGCATCATCGACACGACGAGCACCGCCTTCATGATCAATTCCGTGGAATGCGAGTTCGAATTGACGTGGTTAAGACGAGGCATAGCCGTCTCCATCATATACATGGGTATATAACTCAAAGATTACCATATTACAAGTAATTCGATGTACGCATCCTCGAACGATAACATGAAAAATCACGTAGGAATGACGATAGCCGGCCCCATATGGGACTTTCTCCTGAACGACTACATAACCGGCTACCTGGGCAAGAAGTACGTGATGATCGCGGGCCTGTTCCTGGACGCGATCTGCAACATCCTCTGGACCCACGCCTCGTCCTACTACACCTTCGTAGTTTTTAAGTTCTTTAGCGGAGTACTGTACGTAAATATCAATTTTCGTTATATCGCGCAATAAATGACGTATATCGTCGATATGATTCGCAGAATCGCCGGTCCTCTGTCGGTGTTCATGGCTTATCTGGGCGAGTTTCACGCGCCGGACTATCAACAGCGGTTCAATCGGTGGGCCGGTTTGCTCATTTTATTGTCCAACATCGTGCCCCCAGGTTTTTTATTGCTTTGAAAATATAATATATACGAATATATAGTATATGATCGCGAATTACGTCAGCGACTGTTTTTTCTTTCTCTCTAACGACTCTGTTAATTGTGTTTTCTTTTCCCACGGTCGGGTCTTGTTTTTTTTTTCTTTGTGTTTTTTTTTTTCGTGATCGGGCAGCACTGGCGGCGGCTCTGCTGACGCAGACACCCGACCTGAACTGGTACATCTACAATCGTCACTATCCCTCGTGGCGGGTCTACCTGCTGATCTTTTCGGTGCTGCCGATGATCGGCCTGCTGCTGGTCTGCTTCATGCCCAAGAGTCCGAAATTCTTGATGGCCCAGGGCCGGAGCAAGGAGGCCTTGCAGGTCCTGAAGATCATGTACTGCATGAATCACTTCGAACCGGCGAGCAAGTATCCGGTAACCATCGAGTACAAAAAAAAATGATCCGCGAAAAAATGAATGAACGAAAAAAACTACTTTTGCGCAGATCAAGGAGCTGATATGGCAGCAGAAAGTCAAGCGAAAGCTCAACGATTACTGCCGCGACAAGACGAGGGACAGCATCTCGCATCTCAAGTCGCTGTTCTCCAAGCCGTACGTCAGAGTCGTCGGCACGATTGCCCTGCTGCAATTCGTCTGCATGAGCGAGTAAGTGCGCCATATATTCCTTACCCCCGCCCCCCCCCCTCGAGTTCGCCGCTGCGAGACTCGTTTCTCCAACTGTGTATACAACGCGAACTTTTGCATATACATCCCCGAAACTTTGACCCGCAGGTTCAACGTAATGAGACTGTGGGTACCGTCGCTGTTCACCATGATGAATTACTTCGAGGCGCTGCTGCTGCACCGTTACCCGGAGGGCGAGCTCGTCACCCTGTGCGAGATGATTTTTCCGCGCTTCGATCGCGGCACGCCCTGCAATTTTACTTTGGTAAAGAGTTATTATTAACGATGTAATTTTTCTTCTCTCTCGTTTTTTTTTCTCTCTCTCTCGCTCTTTGATTTACGCGACGAGACGATTGACCTTGACTGATCTGTCTGTCTGTGTATAGCCTGACATAGATTACGCCGTCTTCATCAATTCCACGATCATCGCCACCGCAGCTGTGTCGTTCAGCTTCGTCTTTCCGATACTGGCGAATTCACCAAAGAAGAAGATAATCTTGATGAGTACGAAGGATTTATCGATATACAGCGATTAGATTGGTAATTGGATTTATGCAATTATTTCGTGTGCTGTTGCAGTTTTCACGTTTTTCGTGTCGACCATCGGATGCTTCGGAGCCAATTGGGGTGTGCAGATACCCTACATGCTTGTCCTGGTAGCGTCTGTGATAGTTTCTCCCAGAATAACGGGAAACACCATAATTCTTTATAATGCAGAAGTCGTTCCTCAGGTCTTGAGGTAATTGGCAAAAAGAAACAAATTTCGACTCTTATTTTGTTAAATTCATCATTTATTTTCCCTCGACAGACCAGCGGCGATCAGCGTAATCAACTTTTTCGGCAATCTGGGAGCCTTGGCGGGAAACATAATGTTCTCTTTCCTATTGAGCGTCAATTGCTACGCCGCGTTTCTCACGTTCGGGTGTATAGCGTTAGGTAAGACGCATCTAACTCACGAAATCGATTCATCGAAAAATTATTCATCGCGTATAATGATTTTTGTCTCGATCGCAGTCTGCATAAGCATGCCGCTGCTGCTCTGGAAGGGAATAAAGTCGGACAAAATCGACAAGTCCGACGTGGCGACGACTCAACCAGAAATCGAGCGCTACTGAGAGATAGTAACACAACGAAACAATCGTTCCGCGAAGGAGAATTCATGATAATTCGACGATCATCAAAAACGAGCTTTTTTGTGTGTGTATTTTTTTTTGTATATACGAGGAAAGCCCGTTTCGACACGCGGTGTTGAACTGCCGCCGGAGAAGTGTGAATTATCTTCTCTCTCTCTCTTTCGGCGAAAAAAAGAAAAATACTCATTTTTTTTTGTTTACTTCGATCGCGAAATTTTTTAACTAATTATAAATCACGTCTGAGAATCGCGGGGCAATGTGCACGAATTTTTTTTTGTGTGTTATGCCGATATGTAAAAAACAATAAATAATCGATGTTACTATAAGCGTACTTCGTTAGTCGTTACACATCGAATTTTTGTGTGAAAAAAAAAGGAATTTGTACGAGTACTTATGATTTACTTTTTTAGCGTTAATTTTGTGTTAGATAAAAAAGCAACTTGTTTTATGCATAATTTTGTTATACTTTAATGTTCATTGTTTCGGAATGAGAATTGAAAAATGTGTTTTTCTCCGTTTTTTCACTTAACATTGGTAGATAACTTGAAAATGAAGGCACCCATTTAGCTTTAAAAAAAAAATATGTAAAAATATTAATTAAAATTTTTTTAAAAATAAATCTTTCATCAATATTAGTCTTTGATATTTATTAATGTTATTCATTAATATTAATCTTTAATGTTTATATTAGGTTATACGATAAAAGTATTTTTGATCCTAATCAATACACACTGCAGTGCATGAACTCCATCAAAGACTCACTGCATAATTCTCACTAATCTTCGTTATCAAGGTCTCACAATTTTTGTAAAAATGTGTTTTTCTAATTAAACCTAAGCTGATGAAATTGTACGCAAATACGGATGATGATGGCGATGAATTATCCAAAAAATAAAAACAATAAAAATCATAATGTGTTTTTAATCGCTTATCAATCCCGATACATATCTATACCGAAAAAACATCGTAATTCAAAAAGATCGCCACGGATTAAAATCAAAACAAATCCACAAATTCCCATAATCCGGCGCTGATCTATCAACAACACTATAATATATAATACGCAATAAATGACTCAAGACTAATCATCTCGGTCGATAGTTTACACCGTGCGTCAAAATATAAACTAGCAGACAAATATTGTCATAATCGTGCGGCCCGATCGTCGTCACGTGCCTTCGATACTTTCGCATGATTTACCCAAAAGCGATTCGCGATAAAAAAAAAAAAAGTCGCGAGTCGCACGTGCAATACGCGCTCGATGTTAGAGCTTGTTATTCGAAAAATCGGTTAAGATTCGCGCGACCCACCGCATACGCATTAACGTGAATCATTGGGCGATATTTAATTTTCGATCGTCTGTTAAATATAGCCGACAATCGTTTTTTATTATGTTAGCGTAAAAAATTAACAAAAAAGGAAAAAAGAAGAAATTACGCAATTCTCTATCTCTGTCTCTGTCTCTCTCGTCACGTGCCGAGTTATATATTTACTCGCATTGTTCGAAATCCGATGATTTAATTTCGTAATGCGAAAAAAAGGAGTCAAAGGAGTGACCGAAGTTTTTCCCGAAAAAAAAAAACAACAACAACACACATATTATGCCCGGACGTATATGTAGGCCTGTAAGCCAAAAACGTAATCGTGCAGTTACATAGGCGCAGCGGCGTTACAATTAAATAATTCGCGTCGTCGCGATTTATCATAAACACAATGACGGCACACGCGAGGTGCATACAGCACACGTATAATCCATCTTTATTACGAATTTCGAACAAAGACTCGTATACGAAAAAAAAAAAAGGGAAAATAGGTGGGGAGCCGAACCGATAGTTTGTCACTTAGGCTTCACACCGGTGTCTGCTTCTGTCTGTACCGTACACAGCACAAGCAGTGGTCACTCGTTCGACCGAGTGTAATATACAAGAGCATTAGCTCGTAAATCATAGTAGAAGCCGAGATTTTGGCAGCCGGTGGCGCATCGTCGCGGGCGCGAGAGCCGAGATTTTGGCACGCGAGTGCACACGCGCGGGGGGGGGTAAAAAAATTACGATCTATACGAATCCGAGAATTTTTACCTGTCACGTTTGCGTCATTTTTTTTTACGACTTCCAATTTCGCGCGTTAGTTGTTTTCACGCGAAGACGCACAAATCGGCCTTCGATTTGCGTACCGGTACAACAAGGAGGAAAATAATACAATAAAATTAAAGAAAAAAAAAAAGAAGTGATTCGCGGGCTGTATAATATCACGGTATACGACGACTGCTGTTTCGTTGGACAAACACGCGTTTTATTACTATTTTTACGTGTTCAAACACGAACTGTGTGCCGAGACTCTGCGCGTCGGCTCTCGACTTTCCTCGTGGATTTTCATCATCATCATCATGCTTATTAATAATTCGTAATCGATCGTCGTGTACTCAGGTATACGCCTTTCTCGCCTCTAATCTCGCTCGATTTCGTGGTTTTTCCCCCCGCTGCGCTCGTGGTTAATCGGCGCGCACACGCCCCCATCGGTACTCGGTATATATACCACAAAAGCTCGAAATTTTTTTTAGTCATAGTTCGACACAGAGAGATAATAAGTGCGATCGTATTGTAGTGTGCTCGTGTGCTCGTGTGCTCTATATATTATATAGACGAGATATAATAGACTCGTTGCGAGACTTGACTCAACTCGACGTTGGTGCTATATTAACCGGCGGGCTGCCAAAAATTTTCAACGAAACGTGCGATCTCGAGCTCATCTCGTTGTGTGCGATCTCTACTGCGTCGATCGTCATCCAACGGCGATCGTCTACGTCGGCATCATTACGTTGAACGGCCAACACGCTATTCGCGAGTTCAAGGCACGCCGTCTCAAAGATCTCTTCCTGTCCGTTCTCGCCTATTTCAAATACTCGGCTCGGTGTGTGAAATGAATAAGGAGATTTTCGCCAATGGCATCGCTACCATAGGTAAGTACATACGAAAAAAAAAAATCAAAAATCAACAATTTTTGTACCGGTGTAAACTAACGTCGCCCCGTGAATTACCGTGTGAAGATTTGCGCGCCGAGAAATGCGCCGAGGATCATCGAGAGCCGAGTCAGCCGGCCAAGAGCTACGACGAGGCGATCCGCGCCACCGGCTGGGGCTGGTACAACGTACACCTGCTCCTGCTCTGTCTGCCGATCGCCTGGTCGGCCGTCATCGACACGACCAGCACCGTGTTCGTGCTCAACTCGCAGGAGTGCGAGTTCGAGCTGACCATGTTTCGCCGGGGCATAGCCCTCTGCGTCATCTATATGGGTATGAGCTGTTTTTTTTTTTTTTTTCGTCGTCGATGTAATTTAAAACTTTGTTAATTCATACGGTGTAATTATAAAATTTTGCAGGTATGATAGTCGCCGGGCCGATCTGGGACACCTGTCTGCGCGAGTACAGCACGGCGTACTTGGGCAAAAGAAACATCATCATAATAGGAATTTTAATGGACGCCCTGTGCAATCTATTCTGGACCTACACTTCGTCTTTTTACACATACGTTATATGCAAATTCATTAGCGGCCTGATGTGAGTACATCATAATGTATCTCGTAAACGATCTCCTCGACATTATTTACCAAGTTTAATTTCGTGCCTCTCTAATAATTTACAGAGTCGCCGGCCCGTTGTCCGTCGTAATGGCTTACTTATCGGAGTTTCACGCGATCGCTTACCAGGCCAAGTTTACGAGGTGGGCCGGTCTGCTCGTCGCCGTATCTAACATCGTGCCGGCAGGTAAACATATAATTAAATCTTCATTATGTCCTACCGGTATATATCTTGTTTTCGAGATCCACATGGAATCTAATCGAATTTTCTGTCCCATCGCAGCTCTGGCCGCGATACTGCTGCATCGTGCCGACTGGCTGAACTTCACGCTCCACGGCCAGTTCTATCCGACCTGGAGGATCTACCTGCTGGTCAACGGGCTGCCGTCGATTCTCGGAGTGATCACGGCCTGTCTGCTGCCCAAGAGTCCGAAATTTTTGATATCACAGGGCAAGCGCGAGGACGCCCTGAGAATACTGGCCAAGATGTATCGCTGGAATCATCGCGACTCCAATTGCGAGTATCCCGTGAGTGATCGATTTTAATTTATTTCGGTGTTAAAATGAATCACTTACAATTTATATAATACGTTTGTGGTGCACATTGTAGATAACGAATTTAAAGCGTCAAGAGGCCAAGAAGACGCCGATCGGCGAACTGTTCGCCGATAATTTCCAACGATACAAATCGGTATTTTCCGCGCCTTACAGCCACGCGCTGATCACGGTGCTGTTTTTGCAATTTTTCGCGATGATGGGGTAAGGCATTTCAAAATCATTTCCCTTTCAACGATTTTATTTCAAATTTATTACATGAAAAAAATTTGTCGCGCGCAGCTTTCACGTAACGAGACTCTGGGTGCCACCGCTGTACGTCACCATGAACCACTTTAGGGTGCTGACGCGCCACCTCTATCCCAAGGACGAGCTCATCACCATGTGCGAGATGCTGTATCCGCGACTGCAGAACATCGATCACACGGGCTGCACCTACGTACAGGTGAGTCATCGTTTCAAACGTCAAAATGTTCCGCGACTTTTCGTGGGATTATCGATCGATTACTTTTTTTCATAATAATTCGTATTAATCTTCGTTCTTTAATTTTTTTCCATTGAAGCCCAAAGTCGAGGCCGCCGTCTACGTGAACTCGACGATCATCGCCACGACCGCCGTGACACTCGGCTTCGTCTTTGTGCTGCTGGCCACCACGAGATTGCGAAAAATCAGTCTACTAGGTAAGTACACATGATATAACGACATCTGTCTGCGGTCTCGCGACGGAGTACACATTTGCGCTGTATAACAACTTGCAGCTATATATCGCTTATCATCGATCTGTTTACGATATCTGAATTTTTCAATAATCGTCGTTTCTTTTTTCGTCCTCGGCAGTCTTTTTGTTCCTGGTCGCCGCCGCCGGCTGCTGCGTCACCAACTGGGCGATCAACATACCCTGGATGTTGGTCACGGTCGCCCTGACCATCGTCGGCTCCCGCGTCGCCGGCCAACTGATCGTCGCCTACAATTCCGAAATATTGCCGCTGCACCTGAGGTAAATATAAATATATACAAATATTATTATATATTACAAAGCGTCGAGTCGAGTCATCGCTTGTATCACATTATTATTAGCGAAACGAGGAAAATTAATAAGCGATACGATCTCTCGACGCGAGGCTATTTTAATAATAATATATATAAAATCTTATCGGCGCGTTTAATAATATAATCCCTTATCGTTCGTTAATATTGTGTGTGTGTGTGTGTATTGTTTACAGGTCGACGTCTCTTAGCGTAATCAATTTTGTAGGAAATTTAGGCGCCGTCGTCGGCAACGTCATATTCGGTATACTCATCGATATCGACTGCTCCTCGACCTTCCTGTGCCTGGGAGTCTGCCTGTTTCGTGAGTTATTTTTTCATTTTAAAAAATCTAATAATTAACGATATGCTCGAAATATAACTTCAATAATCAACTCGACGCTTATTAATCTTTCAGTGTGCACAATCATGCCGGTGTTTCTCGTGCAGAAGGTGAAGAAAATGGACCTGGACGTCGTCGAGGCCACCAGATTTTGACCGAAGAAGAAAAGAAAGATATAAAGAGATAGTATCTGACTAAAAATTTTTATTATAAGAGCAAATACTGCCATTTTATACAACATCTTCAAAAGAGCAAATACTGCTATTACATGATATAATTATTATTAATACAGGGGGCTCGATCATCCAACGATAAAAATTCTCTCTGGGCCCGCTGCGAGTCGGGTCTCTGTAATAATGTGCAATATATTTATGTTGGTGGCCCAAGACGACACTCGGGTAAGCGGCTCTCCGCGTCTTAGAGCACGTACAAATCTTACTTCTGTTGTTGTTGTTGTTATTATTGTTGTTTTTGTTTTTCTTTTTTTATTGACAAATTTTTTTTTCTCTTCTTCTTATAGTAAACGAGATATATATGCTCGGATGAGAGAGAGAACGTAAGACACGATGTTGCGGCGTCGTCAATTGTATCAATTGATGCCGTGTACATTTTAAAGTGCGATTTATACACAGACACAGACACACAGACACAAGCGCGTACGTATATATATATATACACGCAAAAGAGACTTAGTAGCGAATTATTAAAAAGCTCGCATCAACGAGTATCAACTAGACCTATTAAAATGTATCATTGACTAAATGTATAAATGTTGTGCGTGAAATGTGTTATACTGCTCCAATGCCAAAGTCTCCGGGGCAGTTCAATCCGATGCCGTCTGGCCGGTCGAAGCCGGGAGACACTATCTGACTATCGTGAATTATATCGTTGTTGTTATTTATTTTTTTAATTGTGCATGATTGAGAAACTGACTGGTGCGTATGATATTGATTTATACACGAGAAATACTGATTTTTTATAATATACACGTATTTTTATACTCATTTTTAGGTAGCTATGAAATTTTTACAATTCTAGGTAAATTAAATAAAGTTGTTATGAAATTATAAATATCATGTTGTCTTTTTCGCACTATCCTTTCTTTTACGGACGATTCTCGAACTAGATCGTGTAAATACTCGTGTTGATAACGCGAACTGCCTCTCATACTCGCAGCTGGTAATGTCATTCTCGACTTTGAAAGCTCGAGTTCTCGAAAGCTCGCACGAGTTACTCTCGCATGATCCTGCTGTTTCACGTGACGTTGCTATCAACCAAAGATAAATCGCTCGTCCTTATCGGAGGTCGGCATCGCAAAAGTTCCGCGCAAGCTCGCCGCTACCGTCGATGCGAGCTTCGACGCGCTACAAACGAATGCGAAGTAGGGTTAATAAATTCGTAAAGCTTCACCAAAATACGAATGCGTATTTCGATCTTGTAATAATAAATATGAGATGTTTTTCAGAACTTTTTAAAAATACGCGTAACCATAATTGCCAAGCAAAATTCAATAAATACCTGATAAAAAACATTTTTGGAAATCTTCATCTCATCCATAAAAAACATTGTTACGTGACTACCTCCTAAGACCTAAAACATATATTTCCTCGATCTAACTTCAGCTAAAAAACAAAAAATCAATCTTATCAAAATACCCCATAAAATTTTAATCAATTATGATTGATAGATCACTCGTCTACATTCTATACACCTATATACAAGGCGATTCAATTTCGTAAATTCATACTCCGCGGGGGGGGACACGGCTTTTTTTCCCCGGGCTTATACGGTTATACCGCAGATCGCGGTCGCATCTCGGCTTTGGCGCGGCTAACCGCCGGGGCTATTTTTCATCGCCGCCACTACGACGACACGTATATCCACACACGAGCTCGTTGGGTACGATGAAAAAAAAAAAAAAAAAAAAACAAGCGAGTAAGAAAAAAAACGAAAGGATAAACAAAAACGTATAAGCTCTGAGTCGTGTGCGTGTATACGCGTGCGTCGTCGTCGTCGTTGTATACGATACTCGCAAGGCAAGTACAAGGCTCAACGTGCGTGGGTGGAGGAGAAGGAGGCAGCTGGTGCGGATTGCGTTGACAGAGTGGCACGTATATAGTATACACCTTAGGGTGGTCCACTTTTTCAAAAATTTTTTGTATCTCGGGGGATCCATCGGAATCAGAAAATTTGAGGTTTAAAATGAATTTTCCCATAAACTAGAACTCAAAAAAATGATTTTAGATGGTGTCGATGAATTTTTGAAGTTTAAAAACGAGCTCCAAAAAAGAAGCAAAATCGGGCTATCATTCGATTTATTTCAAACTCTGTTTAGAGTGTAAAAATAATCTTGACAATACATTTTCTTATTTGTTTTTGTCAGCAGAATTGAATGCTGTAGTCAGTTTTGACCTAGGAGCACAATTTCATTCAAAAAAATACACTTTTTCGATCGTTCTTTTTCGCAAATTCCGCAAAGTTCATTTTCGAGCGAGTGGCAAATGAACAGAAAAAATCTAGAAAATTTTTTGACACCACCAAAATTTAGGATTTTTTATGACAAATCCAATGGTATAAATTAGTATACACTTTGAAATTATTTTAATGCAGAAAAATACAACTTTATCCCAAAAAACGACATTACGAAAAATTGAAAAATCGAAAAGTGTATTAGTTTCTTTCAGGAAATGGCTAAATAGAATCAACTATGGAAAAAATTGCATGGAACTATCTGATAGGTTTTTTTCTCACCTTTCCAACGCCGGTTTCAGAAGTTAAAAATTCGCAAGATTCGCTGAGATACAGCTATTTTTGTACGATGCATTTTTTAGCTTAAATTCTGCTTCGCTGGTTTTTTAATGAATAGAGCTAGCTCAGAATTATTGAATTTTAAGCCTAAAAAATGCATCGTACAAAAATAGCTGTATCTCAGCGAATCTTGCGAATTTTTAACTTCTGAAACCGGCGTTGGAAAGGTGAGAAAAAAACCTATCAGATAGTTCCATGCAATTTTTTCCATAGTTGATTCTACTTAGCCATTTCCTGAAAGAAACTAATACACTTTTCGATTTTTCAATTTTTCGTAATGTCGTTTTTTGGGATAAAGTTGTATTTTTCTGCATTAAAATAATTTCAAAGTGTATACTAATTTATACCATTTGATTTGTCATGAAAAATCCTAAATTTTGGTGGTGTCAAAAAATTTTCTAGATTTTTTCTGTTCATTTGCCACTCGCTCGAAAATGAACTTTGCGGAATTTGCGAAAAAGAACGATCGAAAAAGTGTATTTTTTTGAATGAAATTGTGCTCCTAGGTCAAAACTGACTACAGCATTCAATTCTGCTGACAAAAACAAATAAGAAAATGTATTGTCAAGATTATTTTTACACTCTAAACAGAGTTTGAAATAAATCGAATGATAGCCCGATTTTGCTTCTTTTTTGGAGCTCGTTTTTAAACTTCAAAAATTCATCGACACCATCTAAAATCATTTTTTTGAGTTCTAGTTTATGGGAAAATTCATTTTAAACCTCAAATTTTCTGATTCCGATGGATTCCCCGAGATACAAAAAATTTTTGAAAAAGTGGACCACCCTAATACACGTATCTCTGTATCTCTCGCAAAATCAACGCGCTATACACAACGCCGTGGGGTTGCGAATGGGGTACAGAGAGAGAGAGAGAGAGAGAGAGATAGAGGGGATGCAGTGCGTCGTCGTCCGCGTGTTATACCAGGAGCCGGTCGCAAGCTGCGCAAGTCACACACACACACACACGTGAACTCGCTCTATCTATCTCCCTCTTTGGACGAGGGAAAACCGGCTGCGCTGCGCTGCTGGCCCTGCGCGCGCGCGCCCCGAAAGCCGAGGCGGCGCGAAATTCACTCGACAGTGTATCACGCTCGGAGAGCGCGATCAGACACACGCGCTGTGAGTTCGATGTGCTGCTGTTGCCGCTGCCGGTGGTGCAGGTGCAGGTGCTTCGTCAAAGCATCGAGACGCGCTTGATGAAAAAAAAAAATAAGTAAATAAATTAATCAATCGATCGACAAAATAAAATCCGAGTCCGAGGATATTTTTTCGTTATTTTTTGGTTCTATTCATTCGATTGTAATTAACGAGGTGCGACAGTTGGTGGTGTAAGCTCTGCGTTTGAAAAAAGAAAAAAAAAGCTCTACTCGGTCACCGGTGTTCGTTGTTAACATTAGAACACTTGTTTTTTCGTTGTTGTGTGCTCGGATCCTTTGTTTGTGTGCTCGCGCCGGTGTTAAAAATTGACAAGGTGTTGCTACAAGCTGTGCTTTTCTCTCTTTTGGGTTCTGTCGTCGTTGTGCGACGCGCATCGTTGAGGCTCTCGGCGACAAAAGGTAAGCTCGTTTTTTCATCGCTCTCAATTTTTCGTATCTCCGATACATTTTTTAATTATAATCAGCGTACTTGAAAACGAAATCAACAACAAAAAAAGAGAGAGAGCTTTCGTCACTCTTCCTCGTGCGGCCCAGTATTATACGCGCGTTTAAAACTCTTTTTTTGAATCCCGCGACTAATTGACCGTGAAACGCAGAACATCCTTCTTTTTTTCTCTCTCTCTTTCTCTTATGCTCACGAGTCTTTCTGTGTATATAAACGCGAGCGAGCCGGTTAGCACGTGTCTGCCGCATCACGTTCGCTCGGGCGCTTTATATCTCCACTACTACTACTACTACTACTACTACATACCGAGCTTGCGTACGCGCGTCTGTGCGAGCTCGCCCGCGCGCTTATGCCAGCGACATTCAAATTAACGATATTATACGCGAGTTTATTTCAGCTCTCCGGGAAAAGGAGACACGCGCTTAAAAGAGAGATAGAGATAGAGAGAGAAAAAACCGTAAGTGAGTGCCTGTCGGCTGTCTCTTGGAGGCTATTATTCTTCCTGTTTTCGTACTCCTCTTTTTTTCTCCTTTTCATTTTCGCCATCAAGCGTTTTTCTTTGTGAGACACAAAGTGCGCGCGAGCTTTATCATTTTTTTTTTCGTTCAAATTTGAAATCTCGAGCAAATTGAAACGAAGCTCGAGACTGGGTGCATAAAATGCAATAATTTATACGAGAAAAAGTAAATATAAGAATCGCAATCTCTCGCAAGCCGGGCACACGTTGTGTTTGTCTTATACAGCCCGAGCTTCGTGCGCTATCGTAACTTTGCTGTACTGCGCGGCAGGACGTGTATAACGCTGACCTAATCTTGCATTCGGCCACACGGGGCATTTCCGTGACTGCGAGCTCGCGCTTAATCGGCCGTGAAAGTTATACACTATGCTTGTGCGAGAGATTATAACGACCGAAAACGTGATCCGCGAAACGCAATCGACACCTTTGTTCCACATGTGTGTACGGCTGAGTTTATAGAAAAAAAAAAAATAAATTCTCCCGTACCTTTGTCCGTCAGATTGAAACGAACGCGCGGGGCACCGGGCACGCGCGTATATATAATGCTATCGGCATTTTGTTTGTTCGTTAAGGAAGAAAGAAAAACAACGACACAAAACAAAAAACTGCCAATTAAAAAGAGAAACGCGTCCTGAATGTAAAAGGAAAAAAAAGGACTGGAGAGTGGGGGGCGGGGTGGAATGAAAATCAAATCCATACACGCCATTCATTTCATCGTAAGCACACCTTTCGACGTCCGAATGATTGTTCGGCGTGCGTTTGCGAGCGCACGAGCCCCAACGACGGAGTGCGTACAGCGACAAACTCTCGATGTCGTTGAACTCGCGACGCGTCGATATTACGCGCGTCGTAAACGCGAATCGATAATTATCATTCGATAATTTTTCGGCGTATTTGACGGCTGAACTGCAGGCATACGTGGGTATTGGTATAAACGCAGTCGCGGTTAACATAGACTCTTATAGATAGGATAATTTAGACCCTGTTAAAAATATTAACATTCAAATTAAATGATAATATTAAAATAAAGCAAAAGGCTTACTAGCAGTCTGTTTGAACCGTGCAAGCTACGAGCATTTTATTCGATCCGTGCTTTGTGTTCA